ATGTCATCAGACTCAAGTCCAGCTTCACGCATCAACTGTTCAAACTCCTCTTCGCCCTCCACCGGTCCTGGCTCAACAGTTTTCCTTGGAGCAACCAAGTCTTCAATGGTTTGAGCGTCCATCTTCTTTGGATCTGGTGGAGCATCAAGGCTAAGAGATTCGTATAAACCTTCCCTAATGGCCTTATATCTACCTTTCAAAGGATAAACGAACGGTCCATCAGGTACAGTGAGTTGGTTGACACGCACAACTTGAACTGATTCGTTGAATTCCTTCTCCATAAGGTCCTTCAATGATGCTACAAGAAATTCATTTCTCCAAACGAAACCTGGTTGCATGGCATACCCCAAAAAGATACCTGGATTCGAAGTTGGGTCAAACCGCAAATCTTTCTTGGGTTTAAGTTTCGGACCAGTCCAAAAGTCGATGCGAGCCCCAAAAGGAATGTTGGGTCCCTTGAACTTCTCCCCAAAACGAAGCTCCCACGGAGATAAGATTTCAGGGTGGTCCTGGATGTTGTGTGCCATACACCAGTGTCGTGCAGCATAACTCCAATAAGAATGGTGAAGCCCTGCCTGTTCGAGGTTAACTCTAGTCCCTTCGAGTACGGACCTGAGATTCCTCTCGGCGACTGCGTTCGACTTAGAGACATAAGCAACACTAGTGTTCTGTCTCCACCCAACTTCCCGACAAGCGAGCTTGATGGATGGCGCTGCATCGGAATAAAACACTCCGACTTCTTCACCAGGTGCAATGAAATGCCTAAAAGCTAAAACACAATCTTTGGCATGACTTCTAGCTGAAGGATAGATCCAACGAAAATTTGTAGCGACATCTTTCATGACCATAGCAACCCTGTCACCATCAATTGATTGTTCGTTGGCATCCCTAGTCACAAGATGATCCCCGGTGATGTGATCCCCAAACTTGTTGGATTCCACAGTCAGAGATTCCCCTTTGCTACGTTTAGTAGGTTTGTACATCTTAGCACATTTGCATGTTTCACAAAAGGGATTCTTTGGGGTATGTGTCATCATGTGCCTAAGGGTCCTGGCCTCTTCTCGAAGTGCAGCTTCACCACGATCAATCGCCTTTGGTTCAGGCAACTGAAGTCGACCGTCAACTGGTTCTTCAGGAGCTTCGGCTTCATCTTCCGAACCTTCGACAACGTCTGGTGTCATGGCTGCTGGCGGTCCGGGTGCAAGTTCACCAGGAAAGAATTCTTCGAGGTCGTCGATAGCTTGTCCGGGAATTTCATCGTCATCAGCGATGGAAGCCTCGTAAGGTACTTCGACCTCCTCGACTTCATCATCGGACTCGGCACCGACGGCTGACATGCGAGACCTTCGAACAGGTGAGATGATGGGCTTGCCGTTCCCGGCAGCGGAGTTCCATGAAAACGGAATCCCTACTGCAGCGGGTACCTGGCCATCTCTGGATGGTAGATAAGGAACAAAATCTTTGACTTCAAGTTTGATCTTAGTTCCATCTTTCTTCTTGAAATATGGGCGACTAAAGCTTTTCCAAACAAAATCCCATCCATCTTGAATACATCTCATCCCTACCGATATTACAGCCGGGGTATCAGGAAGAACATATGGATGAACTTCTTTGTCGATGCAATCAATATGAACAGAAGCTTGTTGGTCAGCTGATTGAGAACCATTTGCAGTGATTAATTCAAGGGGTTCATGAGAGTGATACACGATGTCATCGGGAATCATCTTGCTGCAAACTAAGTCCTGTGCACTACCAGTGTCAGCGATCCATGCTATCTCAGCGGATGCGTTACGCTGCTGGGACGGCATGTGTCCTGGCAGGGCATTCAGGTCGGAACGGATGCAGTGGCGACAGCCGATATCACTGTCACATTCAAAGCTGCATTTGCAAAGCTTACCATGCAACTCCCGAAAGACAGCTGATTGCAACATCTGTGCTGCAAGTATTGCATCACTTTCTCGTGCTTCGATCGTATCTTTACGAGTACGATCGTCCTTGGTGATGCGAACTGGATTGAAAGTTCGTTGCTTGGCTTGGCACGGATATAAATTACAATTTTGCTCAATGGGAACTTCGAAGATTTCATCGTTGCCCCCAAATGAAACAGTGCGATTGGGTGTAACTGGCATGGCAAAATGCTGGTTGAAACAATGCGGAGAGGCGATGCCTTCCGGCACGCGATGAGTGCTGGTCGAAGGGTTGACGACTGCGACCATCATCAGAGCGCGCATCAGGCAAACTGCAGCTGAGCCAGAGGAAGATGGTTTTCCCCCCTTGTCCTTGAGACTCTGTGAGCCTCTCGAGGAGTTGGAACCTCGACTTGACGATCTGGAGCGATCGCCCTTCTTCTTCTTATTCCTCTTCTTCTTTTTCTGGCTCTTTCCACGCTTGTCATCTTTGGTAGATGCAGCTGCAGGCTTCGGTGGGTGTTGGAAAGCACAGTCATTACCTCGTTGACACTTACCTGCCTTCCAAAACTTACACACTTGGTTCCTAGATCCTGGAGACAAAGATCGACCATCGCCCCTAGACTTGGACCTAGATTTGCCTTTCTTACCTCCGCCTTTTCCTTTGTCTGCCTTTTCATGTCGGTATCGGCAATCCTTTCCCCTGGTACATTTGCCAGCCTGAAAGTCATAGCAAATGCCAGTGGGCTTTCCCGTGGATGTCGGCCTCGTGGGTGCTGGCGTTGCATCTCTTTTGCCTGAAACGGACTTCTTGGTAGCCTGTCTCATCTTCTCCAGACGTCTCCTCTCAAGGTAGTCCCTCGCAGCTTTCATGAGAAAATCATAAGAGCGGTTGGGTTCCCCCTCCGGTGTGCGATCATACACAGCCAGATCATGAGAGAGAGGCTTGAAGTTCTTGATGGCGTTGTGAAAGTAAGCTTGCTTCCACATCATGTCAGGCTCGGAAGTCATTCCAGCGATCACAGCGTCCCATCGAGTGATGAAACCTCTGAGATCATCATTGACTAAGGTAACAGCCATGAGGTCCTCAATGTCATACACTGCACCATGCTTCCTACTTGTACTGAAGTGTTTATGAATCATGAGCAATGCTTGACGTCCCCTAGCTGGTGTCCCTGACTTGGCTTGTTCTTCTTTAAAGATATCAAGTTGCCGTGCAAAGTCCCCTTCGCAGATGTTGGTGAGCGAAGACATGAGCTTTGCGTCCAGGGTCATGAACACTTCCTCCACCCACTGAAAAGCTAGGTCGGGTTTAGCAGAAGCAGCAATTATGGCATCCCTTACTCGGATTCTCCAATTTCTATAATTTTCGGGTTGAGGGAACTTAGGAACAAGGATCCTATCAGACTCTTTGGCCTTAGTATCACTAGTCCTAGAACGCTCCAAGGCCTTTTTGACCTTTCGGGTAAAGGAACTCTCAGAATCCGAACTTGATGACGTAGGGGATGTCGATGATGAAGGTGAGGATGAAGGATCTCTTCGACGTCGTCGTCGCGAGCGGCCACGACTAGTCTTGCGGTCCTTCTTCTTGTCTTTCTTGTCTCTGCGACCTCTCTTGTCGTCAGATTCATCATCACCATCGTCATCTCCTGGAGGTCCACCGCCGGGTAATCCCGGTGGCTTCAAAGGTTCTGCCTGAAAATGCTCGTCGTCAGCATCTGATGAATGCTGAGGCTTCTTGCTTCCCGAAGCTAACTCTACAATGGTTGGACCCTTGGGCTTCGAGGATTGTGGAATGGGTTTCCCTGAACCATAGTGAATCATAAGTCCAGGAGTTCCCTCCAGAGGTTGAGACTTTAAATTCCGGATGAGCTCTCTCTGCTCCTTCCGAAGCTTCTCAATCTCCGCCTCGAAGTCCTTCTTCTGAGATTCGGCCAGCTTATGCATGTTCAAAGCGTGTTGATTCATTGCATCAATCTGAGTGCGGTACTCGGCAAGTTCTGAACGTGCTGCCTGCAGATCAGCATTGGACTTCTCCGCAGACGATGTCAAGACACCTGCATTGTTGACCACATGAGTCAGCTCGGCACTCAGTTCCCTGATGCGATGATCCTGCGCTGTGACCTGCAGCTGAGCAGACTTCTGCTCACTCATCGCCTGGGCGGCCTGCTCGTTCAACAAAAGGTTTCTCCTGGAAATTTCTTCGGCTGCTTGTTGTTCAACGCTTGCAAGTTGATCTCGAGCCTCACTCACAAGCTCCATTCGTTGACGTTCCATGACCTCAGAGTGACGTACATTCGCCTCACTCTGCAATGCCTGCTGTTGAGCAGCCATGAGCTGGTTCGCCAGGTTTGGATCAATGCCTTGTTGTACCACTGCCACGTGGGCGGTACGCTGATCAACACTGTTAAAGTTGATGGTGTTGAGTTGGCTGATGTCAATGTTTGAATCCAAAACGCCTGGCATGTTCCTGCGTGGATCTTGACGGCATGGGTCAAACTCTTCATCCAGGTAACTCATGTCACCTTCAGTTGTTGCCGCGCCTGAATGGATTACCACTTCCTCCGGTTGTGTAGTTGTCGCCAAAGCCAATGCAGCCGAGGCGTTCCCGCCCGGGGCAGGAAGCGCAGGGGGAGTGGACATTGCGAAAACTACGGAGAAAGAACGACAAGTGTGAAACAAAGGAAACCAGCGATCGCTTGGCGATACGGCTGATAACCTGTAGAAACAGGGTACAAACCACAACGTACCACAAATCCCACCCAAAGATATACGCACTATTTCTTGAGCCATATGCACGAAGTATATGAGGTGAGAATGTTATGTACATACGGTACTACTGTGCATCAACATTTTTTATTGCATCACAAGCTTGCTCGAAGACGTTGGCACCCTGGCACCAGGAGAAAGTGGAGGAAACCAAACATAACTACATTGACACATGGCTATGTAATCTTAGATACCCTGCGAAATGACATGGCCTAGCCAATTAAACACTGTATTCCCCCCTTGTGCCGAAAGATCAAAACCTAGGACGTGGACTACCATGTCAGTTGGATGCCGACCTCAACCCTAAACCTTCAGCCAGGCTGCTATTGCCACTCCCTGTGCTTACTGCGATGTCATATATCGCAGAATGGTCCAGCAACTGCGCTGCGATATGGTACACCTTCACCTTGAGGCAAACCCTAAGGAACTCCATGTGCACGGGCGTCAAGGTTTCCTGGGCACTGAGCAGTTCCGATGGAGCTCGGGAGAGAAAAATGAACCCCGTAGAAAGATGTAGAAAGGTGGCCCCTCCACAAAATCATGGTGGAAGGAAGACAGAGGCAAAACAGCGGCACTACAAAACTGTTGTCCTTCCTAGTTTTTTCTGCCTACACCTCCATGCCCCACCAACAGTCCCCGTCCAACCCCCTGTTTTTCTCGTCATCCCCAAGGTTCCGGCGTATCCTGCAGTTTCTCCAGGGCGGAGCGGAGAGGTTTCAGGCTTCGGAGCATGGCGCCCTGGCCCAGATCTATGGCCAACTGGGCGAAGCTTTTGCACACGGCAGTCATGGGCGAGGCGGCTTTCTTCGCCTGCTGCCCATCAGCGACCTGATCGGCGCTGGGGATAAAGCTGGAAAGCGAAAGTGGGATGGGGTGACTGACCAAAACTGGAAGGGGATGACGGAGATAATGAAAAAACTTGGGAAAGGGATAATATATATATTCATTGATTTACATGTTTTTATTTATTTAATATGACATGATTCAGATTTTACTGAAGGCTTGCAGCCACATCACCTTGAAGCTCTCCCAGTTTCCCGCTGCTTCCCACACTCAGTTCCCAGCATCCTGCCTGGAGGAAGTTGCAAATGAAGGCAAAAGTCGCTCGCTGGTTGGAAAAGAACCCCGCACTGAGCTGTGCCTGCAGTAGGAATGCAGTTCCTGGTGTGGCAAATGCAGTCCCTTTGCCAAGTTTGGACGCACCAACCTGGAATTACTGTGGAGTTTCGAGCGGTTTGGCAGCTGCTACAGTAGATGCCTTGCACAACCCGTGCTCATTGCAGTTTCACCTATCAGTATATATCTTTCTTTTGGCCTAAAATGCAAAGGGGTTCAGTGAATGTTTCCTGACACCATCGGTTGAAACCACGACTTCTCCAGCCGAAGCAGTGGAACAACACCTCGAGCTGCATAACAAGAAATGCGAACCGTATTGGTATCTGTCAAAACCCTTTGCCCCACCATGAAAAACATTCCAAGCGATGTCTAGGGACACATGTACAGCCATCTACGCCCACTTTTCTAGACGCCTTTCAAGATTCCCAGCACTTTCCATCTCCAAAACACATCTCTCCAATTTCTTTGCAGTTCATCAACTGCCCATCTTCCTACCCCATTGGCCCATCCCAATGGCCCAACGCCCCGGTCCTAAGGTGCACTGCACAGGGTCCAGCGCTTGCAGTGCCTGGTCGATCTGACTGGCGTTTGCTTTCAAGGTCTCCTGCTCGTGCCGCAGGAAGTCCTGGCGAGTCATGGCACCGAAGCCGGTGAATCCTAACATAGATGGGATTTGTGGACTACTTATGGATGTTCATCCCCCGAAGCATGGTATTTCAATGTATTTCAATGTATGTGATATGTCAGATATGTTTTGATGCACCACCGTTTTGAAAAATGAGACGCTGACGAAAGTGCAATTGTTTAGTCGTGTTTAGTGCGGATTTCAGTAGGACCATCCAATTTCGGGGAGGCCGATTATGACTCATCCGTGGGTGGCACAGCTCAAAAAACAAAAGGGGGCCCCAGTTGACCAGAAAAGGCCTTACAAAAAAAAATGGAAGAAAAAATTAGATTCCTTAAAATGTTGACGGTGATCTGCCTGTCTAATATGGCAAACCCAGTAATAAACCCACCTCATTCTTCACCAATAACTTGCCTTGTGGGTGGTATTAAAACTGCGCCCATACAGGGAGAGTATTACTTCCTGCCTTGCCCACACGCTTCCAAGCGTGCTTTGTGAACATACAAAGATACAAGGATACAAGGATAGTTGGTATGCCCATCCTTCCATCGGTCCTTCAATTTTTTCAGGTCGCTTTCGTTTTGCGTGGACAGTGTGTGGATCTGATGGACGATGCTGTCCATCTCCCCCGCCACGGCCCCTCTCTGGGAGGAGTCAAGAAATTCCAAGCTTGGACCGGAAAGGTCGAAGGTGTACCGTATCTGACTATGATCACTGGTTGGTTGTTTCACCCATTGAGATCATCACCCCATGTAGGATGGGAAATAACAAAACATTGCAACCGCTAACCAGGTTTAAGTGGGGGGTTCTTGCAGTTCTTGAAGTTTGTAGCCCATAACTTGCAATTCTCCTTTAGTTATGCAGCATGGGACATTTGAATACTGGTACTGGGACACAAGTAGGGGACAAGTGGGAGACAAGTGCCAAACAAGCCAGAGACAAGTGCAAAAACACTGCGGCCCAGAGCACCCAGAGCATACTGGGACACAAGTGGGAGACAAGTGTAGGATCATGCGGCCCAGAGCACCCAGAGTGGGAGACAAGTGAGGGAGACAAGTAGGAAACAAATGGGAAGCAAGAGACAAACGCGAGACAACTGGGAGACAAGTGCAGAAACAATGCGGCACAAACACCCCGAGCCGGAGAGAAGAGGACTGATTGATTGATTGATTGCTTGCTTGGTTGGTTGGTTGGTTGATTGGTTGATTGATTGATTGATTGGTTGATTGGTTGGTTGGTTGATTGATTGATTGGTTGGTTGGTTGGTTGGTTGGCTGGTTAGTTGCTTGATTGATTGGTTGATTGACAGTGCAACCGCGCAAAGCACCGTGGATTAACAGTTAAGTGAGCTGGAAAAGCCCTGGGGAACCAAATCATGAGTCGGCCAACTGCATGATCTGGACTAAGTTCTGATGGAAAGGCAAGGTTACATTGTGCTGGCGATCCACGACTTGTTGTGCCCACTGGTGCGCTTGAGAAACTTCATGTTTATGCCTCTTTCATCCTCTTTCAAGATTTCGGTGACTTCAACTGCAGCACCAGCAGCAGCATCAGCCACTTGATTTAAATGTCTACATTGCTTGGCAGTGAGGCCCCGGTCAAGGGCCGGCTGCCAATCGGTCTTTTTTTGTGGGAAAGTGCTCCGGCAATAAAACTCCAAAATTCCATTTCTCCACGCCCAAGCGGCTGACCACCACTTGGTTGTCAATCAGGAGCCGAACAAGCATCGTTGGCAGCAAGCAAGGCTTGCAAAAGAGCTTCCCGCCCTCCACGGCAGCCGGGGTTTGATGTGCTCCTTCCACTCTGCCGTCAAATGTGTCAGTGTCCGGGGCAATGACTGCCCAGGAAGCTTTTTGGTATAATTCCTGCTTAGCAAAAAACTAATCAGCTGCCATCAAGTGCAAGAATCACGGGCTGATCATCAGAAAGAAATTTATTTCTCGAAAATTGCACAAGAGGGACGTGGATTAAGATCATGGATAGATCATGGCAAGGCACCGGCGTGGGAAGCCGGACAGAGAAGTGGGAGACAAGTCACAAGCATAGACGAATTATGCGGCCCAGCACGCTCAGAGTGCGAGAGGAGACAAGTGTAGAATCACGCAGAGCGTGAGACAAGCGACAAGCGGAACACAAGGGTAGAATCGGGAGACACCAGGGCACCCACAGCATACTGGCGTAGAATCGTGCGGCCACGAACGCAAGCCCGGAGACAAAGGCAAAATCATGTGACCCAGGAATGCAACCCTATGAAAGTAGAACCACCCAAAACTGTTTGGGGAAAAAAATCATGCGGCGCAAAGCATCCAGACCGTACTAGGACACAAGAAGGAGACAAGTAGGAGACAAGTAGGAAAAAGGTGTAGAATCATGCGGCCCAAAGCACCCAGAGCTAGTGGGACAAAAGCAGGAAACAAGCCCAGAGCACCCAGAGCGTACTGGGGGACAAGTAGTAGACAAATGGGAGACAGCGGGAGGTAAAAATCATGCGCTTCAGGGCACTGAGAGCGTACTGGGAGACAAGTGGAGAACCATGCGGCCCAGGGCACCCAGACTCAGACACAAAAATCGGAAACAAGCTGGAGACAAGCGTAGCATTAATTTAATTATGCGGCCCAGGGCACCCACAGCATATGTACTGGTGTAGAATCATGCCTAATGCCATGCAGGTAAACCGCGTTGGGGAATAAAAGGAAACTATATAAACAAAAATAGAGTGAAATGACAGGAACATGATACGAAAGTTAAATTATACGAAAGGAAGATGAAAGGAAGCGAAGGAAGCGAAAGGAAAATGAATAGGAAAAACAATGTATTATGATTACTTGTGTTGCGAATACCTTGCCAAAGCAGGAGGGGCTTTTGTGACAAACAACAATACCTCCGGGACCGCTCACCCGTTCCTGGTTCCACCATCACCACCATCATCAGCACCAAAAAACGATGCCTGGAGCATTGATGAGGATCCTGTCTCTGTGGATATTTACATAAGATCAAAACCTGCCCATTGCCAAATCACCCAAGGCGCGCTCTTGTTCACCACATCTTGTGGTCAATGGCACGCAGCCGAGGCTTCCGGTGGAGTCAGGGGATATTGGAATCAACACCAGTGGTTCCTCATCAAACTCCTGCTCACCTGCAACCTAAAATAAGCATAGTCACAGACATTCAAGGGCCCCAGAGTCCATGGCCGCGGTGTATCCCAGACCATCCACAACCCCCGCCATCATCGCGTGATGGGCCGCGAGGTCACGGTGCAGTGATACAAATCTCCTGGAGCCCCAAGGCCGTGGGTGAAACGGTTCAGATTCGTCCGCGCGCCACCGGGCTGCACCACGGGCAAGGCCCCGTCTGAGTCGCATCTCATCTTAGATGGGCCTTGGGCAATGGCAAAAGACAACCATGCTGAGGGCATGCTTATGGTGTCATGAACTCTTTGTTATACTCAGAAGGTTTCTTTTACACTCTAAAGGCTTACTTATGACCCAGGTCACGAAGTAGAGGCGTTGAGAATACAAACATACTCCACATTTTTGGAGGAAGAAAATGAAAATACCCAAACTTCCAATGCTGCATCTGACAGTCTCTCCATTTTTCCATTTTCTGGGGCATAGATGATAGGGTTATCCCCCCAAAAATCTCAAGGCCGCCAAGGTTCGACTCCCAGGGCTTTCCACGGCCATCGGACGGCTGTCGCTCCGGCTCTGTGGGCGGCCGTGGCTGCGCCAGGCGCGAGGATCGCCGCGGAAGCCGCTGGGCTGACGCCTGGGGGCTACTCTGGATCAGATGAGATTTGGATTACTCTGGATTAGATCTCATTAAATTTCAGTAAGTCTGAGCAGATTTGGATGAGATTTAGATTAGATTGGATAAGATAGAGAGGGAGATAGATATGTAGATGTAGATGATTGCAAATGCAATAATGCCATCGTTGGCAAAACATGAGATGTCTCAGTTAACGGAGGACTTCACAAACGTTTACAGCTCGATAAAATGGTATTTCGCATAGGTTCCTGCACATTTTTCCTTTAAATCAAGTCTGGAAAGGGTGTCCAAGATCCAAGGAGACGAAGTTCAAACCGGGAGTGGTCTGGGACTTGGGAGTTTGGAGTTCCCTTCGCCCATCCACCAGACCATCCACTCACCTGCGTCGCTGCTTGCGAATGCAGCTCTCTTCCACTGGAAAGGTAGGTAAATCCTTTAAGGTGCTCACCGATGTCGCCTGCAGACCGCACCCAGAAAGGCTGGCTTGGGGTGAAAGGTGGTTAAAAGTTGATTGGTTAAAAAATTCACGCTGTGAAAATTCACGCACGCTATGATTAGTCAAAGTCGACTGGGATCATGATCATCATCATCATCATCATCATTGTTTAAACCACATGTTTCAAAAAAAAAAAAAGGTTGTGAAAATCACGCCCTTGAACCATCCCCTAGTGCTTCCGAGCCTTCGAGAGCTGTCCTCGATTTTGACTGGGGCTCAGCATGCTTCGGCTGGCCTTGGAAGAGAGATGGAAGCTGCAAACCCTCCACGGGCAGTGGGGAAATCATCTACATGGTGGAGGATGTTTGATATTGTTTTATATTGTTTGATTTTATCCGCAGGTTTGCATGCTGGAGACTGAACACCAACAAAAATTGACAGCTCCAACAGAATATGTATAATGTATATTATTCATGCAGGTTCTGTTGGAGCTGTTATGTCAAGGAATGGATTGCAAAATGCGAATGCCAGAAATTGGCCATCATTGCCCTGCGTAATTAGTGAAGTCTGAGGTAGATAAACACTGGTAAATAAACGTGCTGCTACTCAAGTTCAATATCGTGTATTACTTTTCTGTTGCGATTGCTCAAAATGCTCAACCACAAGAAAATATATAAATATCTCATGTCGACTTGATGGCTAGCATATATCGTCATCAGTTTGACTAATAAATATCAATGACGACAACCACCCACACCCACTGGGCGCCCCCGCTGCACGGCTGGAGGCAGCCGCTTTTGCGGCGTTGCGCAAGCGCTGCGCGAGGGCCTGGTAGGTTCCAGCGTGGAGTACCGGGTACGTGGCTATTAAAGGATACCTATTCAGCGGGGTTATATGGAGTTAAATGTATATAGATTATAAATATATATATATGATGTGTATACATATATCTATATATACACATGTATGTGTGTGTGTGTATGTCTATGTGTATGTGTATCTGTGTCTGTATATGGGTGTCTGTGTGTGTGTATGTATCTGTATGTATCCGTATGTGTCTGTATGTATCTGTATGTATTTATATGTGCATGTATGTACTTATGTATGTACTTGTGTATGTACTCATGTATGCACTTATGTATGTACTTATGTATATGGTTATGTGTGTACTTATGTATGTACTTATGTATGTACTTATGATGTACGCATGTATGTACGTATGTATGTACTTATGTATGTACTTCTGCATGCACTTCTGTATGTACTTATGTATGTACTTATGATACTTCTGTATGTACTTCTGTATGTACTTCTGTATGTACTTATGTATGTACTTTTGTATGTACCTGTATGTACTTATGTATGCACTTATGTGTGTACTTATGTATGTACTCATGATGTACGTATGTATGTACTTGTGTATGTACTTACGTACGTATGTAGGTATGTATGTATGTATGTATGTATGTATGTATGCATGTATGTATGTATGCATGTATGTATGTATGTAAATTGTATGTATAATTGCCTGTTAATAAACGTCCACGTTAAGTGGGGAACCTGTGAATTCTGGAAGACTAGGAAGTCATGCCCCAGCAGACGATGAGCTAAACCGGCTAAACGCAGCTTGTGGGATGGACATCAATATCGTGTTTGGGGGCGGGTGGTGTCATTGAACTTCCAAGCGCGTGAACTTTCCTGGGGTCCGCCCAAACACGCTGGGTGCCACGCTACATATCCGCCGACCCCAGCAAGCTGCAGGGGGAGCGCGCCCGAGAAAAAGCTTTTCCAGGATTCTGATTGCGTCGATTGTTTGAAGGCCACCGGCCAGTGTATTGTTCGTATGGTGGTAGTCTTTGGCTCAAGATCTTTGCAAACCCACCCCCGAGGGCCGCATGAGCGGTCTTGCCCAAAGCGGGGGAAATGCCGTCTGCGCGGGCATTAAACGCGTAAGGTCGCCCTGCCGGGCGCTTTCCAAGAAGAACTTTTCTCGTGGCTTCAGAAAGCGACGTTAGGCAGTAGCCTCCCTTCAAATGTCCCGCAGCGCCCTTCCCAGGAGCTTTTGCTCCATTTTGCAGGCTTCTAGGCGCTTTCCAAGAACTTTTCTAGTGGCTTCAGAAAGCGACGTTAGGCAGTAGCCTCCCTTCAAATGTCCCGCAGCGCCCTTCCCAGGAGCTTTTGCTCCATTTTGCAGGCTTCTAGGCGCTTTCCAAGAACTTTTCTAGTGGCTTCAGAAAGCGACGTTAGGCAGTAGCCTCCCTCAAATGTCCCGCAGCGCCCTTCCCAGGAGCTTTTGCTCCATTTTGCAAGCTTCTAGGCGCTTTCCAAGAACTTTTCTAGTGGCTTCAGAAAGCGACGTTAGGCAGTAGCCTCCCTCCAAATCCTCGCAGCGCCCTTAGCAGAGGCTTTTGCTGCATTTTGCAGGCTTCTGGGCGCTTTCCAAGAACTTTTCTAGTGGCTTCAGAAAGCGACGTTAGGCAGTAGCCTCCCTTCAAATGCCCGCAGCGCCCTTCCCAGGCTTTTGCTCGTTTTGCAGGATTCTGGGCGCTTTCCAAGAACTTTTCTAGTGGCTTCAGAAAGCGACGTTAGGCAGTAGCCTCCCTTCAAATGCCCGCAGCTCCCTTCCCAGGAGCTTTTGCTCCATTTTGCAAGCTTCTGGGCGCTTTCCAAGAACTTTTCTAGTGGCTTCAGAAAGCGACGTTAGGCAGTAGCCTCCCTTCAAATGCCTCGCAGCGCCCTTACCAGAGGCTTTTGCTGCATTTTGCAGGATTCTGGGCGCTTTCCAAGAACTTTTCTAGTGGCGTCAGAAAGCGACGTTAGGCAGTAGCCTCCCTTCAAATGCCTCGCAGCGCCCTTCCCAGAGGCTTTTGCTACGTTTGCAGGATTCTGGGCGCTTTCCAAGAACTTTTCTAGTGGCTTCAGAAAGCGACGTTAGGCAGTAGCCTCCCTTCAAATGCCTCGCAGCGCCCTTACCAGAGGCTTTTGCTACATTTTGCAGGATTCTGAGCGCTTTCCAAGAACTTTTCTAGTGGATGCAGAAAGCGACGTTAGGCAGTAGCCTCTCTTCAAATGCCTCGCAGCGCCCTTCCCAGACTTTTGCTGCATTTTGCAAGATTCTGGGCGCTTTCCAAGAACTTTTCCAGTGGCTGCAGAAAGCCACGTTAGGCAGTAGCCTCCTTTCAAATGCCTCGCAGCGCCCTTCCCAGAGGTTTTTGCTGCCTCGCAGCGCCCTTACCAGAGGCTTTTGCTCCATTTTGCAGGCTTCTAGGCGCTTTCCAAGAACTTTTCTAGTGGCTTCAGAAAGCGACGTTAGGCAGTAGCCTCCCTCCAAATGTCCCGCAGGGCCCTTCCCAGGAGCTTTTGCTCCATTTTGCAGGCTTCTAGGCGCTTTCCAAGAACTTTTCTAGTGGCTTCAGAAAGCGACGTTAGGCAGTAGCCTCCCTTCAAATGTCCCGCAGCGCCCTTCCCAGGAGCTTTTGCTCCATTTTGCACGCTTCTAGGCGCTTTCCAAGAACTTTTCTAGTGGCTTCAGAAAGCGACGTTAGGCAGTAGCCTCCCTCCAAATGTCCCGCAGCGCCCTTCCCAGGAGCTTTTGCTCCATTTTGCAGGCTTCTAGGCGCTTTCCAAGAACTTTTCTAGTGGCTTCAGAAAGCGACGTTAGGCAGGCAGTAGCCTCCCTTCAAATGTCCCGCAGCGCCCTTCCCAGGAGCTTTTGCTCCATTTTGCAGGCTTCTAAGCGCTTTCCAAGAACTTTTCTAGTGGCTTCAGAAAGCGACGTTAGGCAGTAGCCTCCCTCCAAATGTCCCGCAGCGCCCTTCCCAGGAGCTTTTGCTCCATTTTGCAGGCTTCTAGGCGCTTTCCAAGAACTTTTCTAGTGGCTTCAGAAAGCGACGTTAGGCAGTAGCCTCCCTGCAAATGTCCCGCAGCGCCCTTCCCAGGAGCTTTTGCTCCATTTTGCAAGCTTCTGGGCGCTTTCCACGAACTTTTCTAGTGGCTTCAGAAAGCGACGTTAGGCAGTAGCCTCCCTTCAAATGCCTCGCAGCGCCCTTACCAGAGGCTTTTGCTGCATTTTGCAGGATTCTGGGCGCTGTCCAAGAACTTTTCTGGTGGCTTCAGAAAGCGACGTTAGGCAGTAGCCTGCCTTCAAATGTCCCGCAGCGCCCTTCCCAGGAGCTTTTGCTCCATTTTGCAGGCTTCTAGGCGCTTTCCAAGAACTTTTCTAGTGGCTTCAGAAAGCGACGTTAGGCAGTAGCCTCCCTCCAAATGTCCCGCAGCGCCCTTCCCAGGAGCTTTTGCTCCAGTTTGCAGGCTTCTAGGCGCTTTCCAAGAACTTTTCTAGTGGCTTCAGAAAGCGACGTTAGGCAGTAGCCTCCCTCCAAATGTCCCGCAGCGCCCTTCCCAGGAGCTTTTGCTCCATTTTGCAGGCTTCTAGGCGCTTCCAGAAACTCTTTTGTTCTTTTTTTTTTTCTCTGTTCTAGTGGCTTCAGAAAGCGACGTTAGGCAGTAGCCTCCCTTCAAATGTCCCGCAGCGCCCTTCCCAGGAGCTTTTGCTCCATTTTGCAAGCTTCTGGGCGCTTTCCAAGAACTTTTCTAGTGGCTTCAGAAAGCGACGTTAGGCAGTAGCCTCCCTTCAAATGTCCCGCAGCGCCCTTCCCAGGAGCTTTTGCTCCATTTTGCAGGCTTCTAGGCGCTTTCCAAGAACTTTTCTAGTGGCTTCAGAAAGCGACGTTAGGCAGTAGCATCCCTTCAAATGTCCCGCAGCGCCCTTCCCAGGAGCTTTTGCTCCATTTTGCAGGCTTCTAGGCGCTTTCCAAGAACTTTTCTAGTGGCTTCAGAAAGCGACGTTAGGCAGTAGCCTCCCTCCAAATGTCCCGCAGCGCCCTTCCCAGGAGCTTTTGCTCCAGTTTGCAGGCTTCTAGGCGCTTTCCAAGAACTTTTCTAGTGGCTTCAGAAAGCGACGTTAGGCAGTAGCCTCCCTCCAAATGTCCCGCAGCGCCCTTCCCAGGAGCTTTTGCTCCATTTTGCAGGCTTCTAGGCGCTTTCCAAGAACTTTTCTAGTGGCTTCAGAAAGCGACGTTAGGCAGTAGCCTCCCTGCAAATGTCCCGCAGCGCCCTTCCCAGGAGCTTTTGCTCCATTTTGCAGGCTTCTAGGCGCTTTCCAAGAACTTTTCTAGTGGCTTCAGAAAGCGACGTTAGGCAGTAGCCTCCCTTCAAATGTCCCGCAGCGCCCTTCTTAGGAGCTTTTGCTCCATTTTGCAGGCTTCTAAGCGCTTTCCAAGAACTTTTCTAGTGGCTTCAGAAAGCGACGTTAGGCCAGTAGCCTCCTCCAAATGTCCCGCAGTCGACCCGTGCTTCCCAGGAAGCTTTTGCTCCATTTTGCAGGCTTCTAGGCGCTTTCCAAGAACTTTTCTAGTGGCTTCAGAAAGCGACGTTAGGCAGTAGCCTCCCTCCAAATGTCCCGCAGCGCCCTTCCCAGGAGCTTTTGCTCCATTTTGCAGGCTTCTAAGCGCTTTCCAAGAACTTTTCTAGTGGCTTCAGAAAGCGACGTTAGGCAGTAGCCTCCCTCCAAGTGTCCCGCAGCGCCCTTCCCAGGAGCTTTTGCTCCATTTTGCAGGCTTCTAGGCGCTTTCCAAGAACTTTTCTAGTGGCTTCAGAAAGCGACGTTAGGCAGTAGCCTCCCTGCAAATGTCCCGCAGCGCCCTTCCCAGGAGCTTTTGCTCCATTTTGCAAGCTTCTAGGCGCTTTCCACGAACTTTTCTAGTGGCTTCAGAAAGCGACGTTAGGCAGTAGCCTCCCTTCAAATGTCCCGCAGCGCCCTTCCAGGGCTTTGCTCCATGCAGGCTCTAGGCGCTTTCCAAGAACTGTATAGTGGCTTTCAGGGACTGAAGCGATGGTGCTTTGGTGTTGATGACGTTTAGGCAGTAGCCTCCTTCAACATGTCCCGCAGGCCCTGCCAGGAGCTTTTGCCCATTTGCAGGCTTCTAGGCGCTTTCCAAGAACTTTTCTAGTGGCTTCAGAAAGCGACGTTAGGCAGTAGCCTCCCTCCAAATGTCCCGCAGCGCCCTTCCCAGGAGCTTTTGCTCCAGTTTGCAGGCTTCTAGGCGCTTTCCAAGAACTTTTCTAGTGGCTTCAGAAAGCGACGTTAGGCAGTAGCCTCCCTCCAAATGTCCCGCAGCGCCCTTCCCAGGAGCTTTTGCTCCATTTTGCAGGCTTCTAGGCGCTTTCCAAGAACTTTTCTAGTGGCTTCAGAAAGCGACGTTAGGCAGGCAGTAGCCTCCCTTCAAATGTCCCGCAGCGCCCTTCCCAGGAGCTTTTGCTCCATTTTGCAGGCTTCTAGCGCTTTCCAAGAACTTTTCTAGTGGCTTCAGAAAGCGACGTTAGGCAGTAGCCTCCCTTCAAATGTCCCGCAGCGCCCTTCCCAGGAGCTTTTGCTCCATTTTGCAGGCTTCTAGGCGCTTTCCAAGAACTTTTCTAGTGGCTTCAGAAAGCGACGTTAGGCAGTAGCCTCCCTTCAAATGTCCCGCAGCGCCCTTCCCAGGAGCTTTTGCTCCATTTTGCAGCTTCTAGGCGCTTTCCAAGAACTTTTCTAGTGGCTTCAGAAAGCGACGTTAGGCAGTAGCCTCCCTGCAAATGTCCCGCAGCGCCCTTCCCAGGAGCTTTTGCTCCATTTTGCAAGCTTCTGGGCGCTTTCCACGAACTTTTCTAGTGGCTTCAGAAAGCGACGTTAGGCAGTAGCCTCCCTTCAAATGTCCCGCAGCGCCCTTCCCAGGAGCTTTTGCTCCATTTTGCAAGCTTCTAGGCGCTTTCCAAGAACTTTTCTAGTGGCTTCAGAAAGCGACGTTAGGCAGTAGCCTCCCTTCAAATGTCCCGCAGCTCCCTTCCCAGGAGCTTTTGCTCCATTTTGCAAGCTTCTGGGCGCTTTCCAAGAACTTTTCTAGTGGCTTCAGAAAGCGACGTTAGGCAGTAGCCTCCCTTCAAATGTCCCGCAGCGCCCTTCCCAGGAGCTTTTGCTCCATTTTGCAGGCTTCTAGGCGCTTTCCAAGAACTTTTCTAGTGGCTTCAGAAAGCGACGTTAGGCAGTAGCCTCCCTCCAAATGTCTCGCAGCGCCCTTCCCAGGAGCTTTTGCTCCATTTTGCAGGCTTCTAGGCGCTTTCCAAGAACTTTTCGAGTGGCTTCAGAAAGCGACGTTAGGCAGTAGCCTCCCTTCAAATGTCCCGCAGCGCCCTTCCCAGGAGCTTTTGCTCCATTTTGCAGGCTTCTAGGCGCTTTCCAAGAACTTTTCTAGTGGCTTCAGAAAGCGACGTTAGGCAGTAGCTAGTTTTCTTGTTAGGCAGTCAGAGCCGTGGCCCGCAGGCCCGGTCCGTCCCTCAAAGCCCTGCTTCTCCTGCAGCGGTTCAATTCGAAGTCCACCTTTTGTTTCGTGGGATTGCGACGTAACTTATATTATATTATATTCTATTCTATTCTGTTATATATTATATTAGAATATATCAATTATCCGCCGACCCCGCTTGCAGCAGCGGGAGCGCGTCAGAGGAGGAATTACCAGCAGCAAGGGCCAAGAAGTCATTACAAGCAGCTAGGGCAAGAAGCAAGAAAACAAGAAAGAAGAAGCAAGAAGCAAGAAGCAATTACAGGCAACAAGCGGCAAGAAGCAAGAAACAAGAAGCCAGGAAGCAACAAGTGGCTGGAAGACAGGTCAGAGAGCTAGTTTTCTTGTCGATTCAAAAAGCAACGTTAGGCAGGCGGCTGGAACACAGCTCAGAGAGCTAGTTTTCTTGTAGGTTCAGAAAGCAACATTAGGCATGCTTCTCCAGGGGTCGGCGGCAGAGGGCGTAGCCCTTTAATAATAGTGAGATGGTTTTGACATGTTTTGACGCCGCGAAGTTACATCACCCCATGCTTGCACAAAACAGCTATACATAGCTATACAATGCTATACACGTACCTGCCTGCACCTATCCATGCTAGAGCACGTCACCAAGATATACATATAATGTGATCCGATAGATGGATACTGCATGCGCAGTACGCATGCCGGCACATCCCATTGAATCCCATGAGGGAAACGCCTGCCGCACCAGCTGCTCATGTTCTCTGCAGCGATCATACCTGGCATTGGAAGAGTGGGTGTGAAGCAGAAAAAAAACTAAGAATCACCAATGGTGTGGGTGAAAAAATGGTGAAGGTCTGCAGTGTGGGGAGCATCTGATTAGGCAGCAACATCCAGTTGTTGACATCCTCCCTCCAAGTGCATGAGGCCCCGGACCAGTCTTGACACTCCGGATGAGAACCCACAGCCAAGAGGAAGTCGTACTGAGGGATGCCTGCGGCTCGGGTATGGCTCGGACTTGGGGCCATTGGTGAGATCCAAAAGTGTCCAAAATGTTGACATTGTTCCCGAACTCTTGAAGCATCCAATCTGAGGTTGAAGAGTAGGAAGTGTCTGTCCCCTTGATCTAGTAGAATCTAGCACGAGCCTTTGCAACAAGGCCACATCAATCTCACCACCAGGGCCGCACCCGGGGCCCCCCACGATATGCTAAGCAATTGGAGGCAGCTCTCAGGATGGCATCATGCTCTGCCAACAAACCTTCTGGCACATAGCTACCTGAGCTGTCGAGAAAGCACACCTGTGGATGTGGGGCGTATGTGCGTGCACAAGACAATGATGGAGCTGGAATGCAGTCTAAACCAAAGAATGAAGCCTTAGATTTCAGTCTCGTACAAGTCTTGAGACATTGAAACATCACCCAATCATTGCTAAACGTTGGGCCCACGCTCACCTGTCCCGTAGACTGGAGACTTGCTTCTTTGGAATGGCTTGCACTTGGAGGATTGCGTTGAACAATTTTAGATGAACAAAACAAAAAATAGGGTGATACCATGACAGCACACTCCAGCCTGATATCTGGACCGTAGAGTTCACCAACTAGACTCCATGATTTCGTCAAGCCACATGTGCCATACTCTACAGCCAATATGAAAATCCCTTAAATTGGCCACTCCTTTTGGGCCGAAAAAGCATCTTATGCTAACATTTATAGAGCATTTAAGGAAAAAAAAATGTATAGATTATTTCACCATTTTTATATAACCTCAACAAGGGTTGCCCCAGAATTTCTGGCTTCCAAGCAGCCAGCCCTCATCCTGGAGATATAGCGGCCGGTGCTCAGCTCCAGATGGGCCAGGCCCGTGACTAAGACTCCGAAGTGCGGCCCAGAGGGGTGGCTATCAGGTGCCGGCCACCAAGCCTCACCTGGCGATGACCAGATTTGGATACATTTTCCATAAATTCTCCTGAAATCCCTCAAAAATGGTGGAAAAATCCAGGTTTTACCAGTTTTACCTGACATTTTTATATTAATTCATCTGGTAATAGCTTGCAAAAAGCCTGTGGGTGTGTTTCGTGGCGACCCTCATGGGGTTTGACCTGGTGTCCTGGGCATTCACCGGCATCTTGAGAAATGCATTGGAGTCCTGCGAAAACAACGGCCTCACCTGGTGGAAGGTCCATCCGCTCTGCCATCAGCGCCACCAGGGAAGCCAAGGAATAGGCCGAGGACGGAATACCTTACTGCGGTCAGCGACTGCCCACTGATACAAGTTTTCCCTTGAACAGGGCATCCTAGACGAGATGAGATAGTCCGCCAGTTGTGGCAGTTTGGGACATCATTGCCAGTTGCACAAAAGAACGGAGTACCAAAGGTTGGGAGATACACTGCAAGCCTCGTGTAGCAGGCAAGTAACCAAAAAAAAATGTTCAAAATCATCTTCCAAATATTCCGAACCCTCTGTGTCCGAGACCCTTATACTTGAGAGGGGGGGGACGAAAGGTAGGGGGGAAAAGACAGGAGGGAGAGGCAAGAGAAGGTGCGACTGTTTGTAACGCAAGCACGCCGACGACGACGACGACGACTACTACTACTACTACTACTACGACTACTACTACTACTATGACGACTACTAGTACTAGTACTACTACTACTACTACTACTACTACTACTACTATGACGACTACTAGTACTACTACTACTACTACTACTACTACTACGACTACTACCACTACGACTACTACTACTACTATGACGACTACTAGTACTACTACTACTACTGCTACTACTACTCCTACTACTACTATGAGGACTACTACTACTACTACTATGAGGACTACTACTACTACTACTATGAGGACTACTACTACTACTACTACTACTACTACTACTACTACTATGAGGACTACTACTACGACAACGACGACTACTACTACTACTACGACGACGACTACTTCTACTACTACGACTACTACTACTATGACGACGACGACGACGACGACTACTACTACTACTACTACGGCTACTACTACTACGACGACTACTACTACTACTGCTACTACTACTGCTACTACTATTACTATTACTATTACTTCTACTACTACGACTGCTACTACTACTACTATGACGACTACTAGTACTACTACTACTACTACTACTACTACTACGACTACTACTACTACGACTACGACTACTACTATGACGACTACTAGTACTACTACTACTACTGCTACTACTACTACTACTACTACTACGCCCAGGCCCGTTACACTTTACATTCAATTGGGAAGATCAACAAGGGTATTAGGGAATATTAAACTCCCACCCCTGTTAAACTTTACATTGCATTGGGAAGATCAACAAGGGTATTAGGGAATATTAAACTCCCACCCCCGTTAAACTTTGCATTCAATTGGGAAGATCAACAAGGGTATTAGGGAATATTAAACTCCCACCCCGGTTAAGCTTTACATTCAATTGCGAAGATCAACAAGCGGATTCATGACTTCGTGGAAATTGCGTTGAAGAGTTTGCCGATTTCTAACGTTAGATGTATAAGGTAGGCATTTTGGACAAGAATCGGTTGGAAAGAAACTTTTGGAGTTTGAAAAGCTCACCCAAGCAGCTGGAATGTTTGTGTGCTTGTTGTTGGTGAATCGTTATTCTTGTAGGTATACCGTGTTGTCAGCACGCGGACTCGTTGGACGGGCCTCCAGGGAGTCGACTGAGCTAGTTGTTGACGCTGTGGAGGCGCTTCCGCCACGACTACATAAAGTATCGTTTTTTGTTCTGTACAATGACGTTCCGAACTCCGAATACGTGGGCCCGGTGGAGGGGCCTCCAAAGGGTCAACCAAGTGAGGGGTTGACTCTGTGGAGGCTCTCCCACCGGGTCCACAGAAACTATTGTTTTTGGTTAGTTGTTGACTTTGTGATTTCTAGCAAGTTTACATAAAGTCCAACCGGGTCCACAGAAACTAATGTTTTTGGTTAGTTGTTGACCTTGTGATTCCTACCAAGTATACATAAAATATCGTTTTTTGTTCTGTACAATTACGTTCCGAACTCCGAATAGGTGGGCCCGGTGGAGGGGCCTCCAGAGGGTCAACCAAGTGAGGGGTTGACTCTGTGGAGGCTCTCCCACCGGGTCCACAGAAACTATTGTTTTTGGTTAGTTGTTGACTTTGTGATTTCTAGCAAGTTTACATAAAGTCCAACCGGGTCCACAGAAACTAATGTTTTTGGTTAGTTGTTGACCTTGTGATTTCTACTAAGTATACATAAAGTATCGTTTTTTGTTCTGTACAAGTACGTTCCGAACTCCGAATACGTGGACCCGGTGGAGGGGCCTCCAGAGGGTCAACCAAGTTAGGGGTTGACTCTGTGGAGGTTCTCCCACTAACAAGGGTATTAGGGAATATTAAACTCCCACCCCGGTTAAACTTTACATTGAATTGGGAAGATCAACGAGCGTATTAGGGAATATTAAACTCCCACCCCCGTTAAACTTTGCATTCAATTGGGAAGATCAACAAATGTATTAGGGTATATTAAACTCCCACCCCCGTTAAACTTTACATTCAATTGCGAAGATCAACAAGGGTATTAGGGAATATTAAACTCCCATCCCCGTTAAACTTTGCATTCAATTGGGAAGATCAACAAGGGTATTAGGGAATAGTAAACTCCCACCCCCGTTAAACTTTACAGTCAATTGGGATGTTGATGATGTTGATGATGTTGATGTTGTTGCTGATGATGCTGATGATGATGATGATGTTGATGAAATGAGGGAAAAATTCGTCATCCGTTTGCCCAAACGAACGACACGGGGAATCTCACAAAACATTGGCCCTGCGCAGTCAAAACGCACTTTCCCGGGCAGCACATCCGTCCTGGCCGTAGTACTACTACTACTACTACTACTACTACTACTACTACTACTACTACTACGACTACTACTACTACTACTACGACTACTACTACGACGACGACTACGACTACGACTACTACTACTATCATTCGTATGGCACCTATCTCACTAGAATTTACCAAAGAACAGAAAACATCATTTTTTCGGGGTTGCGCTTCATCTCGCCTCGATGAAGCACAACCAAGTGCTTGGGAGCACAACCAAAGTCATTTATCGCACAAACATGAGCTTGGTTGCGCCCACAAACGCTGGGTTGCGCTTCATCTCGCCTCGATGAAGCACAACCTTGGAAAAAGATATTTTTTTATCTTCTTTGGTAAATTTATGTCATCCAGACCGTAGCATATTCTAACTTCGCGAAAAACGCGAAAAAAGCGAAAAAAGTATCAACGTCGGAAAAGCGAAAAAGCAAAGCAGCAAAATCTAAAAAACACAAAAGCAGAATAAAAGGAGAAAAAAGAAAGGAAAAACACGGAGAGGCTCAAAGGGAAAAATGAAACAAGAGTTACATTTTTTGTTTTTTCACGCTTTCTTTCAAGTTTTTCGACAGGCAAAATAATCTATGGTCTGGAAGACATAAATTTACCAAAGAAGATAAAAAAAATATCATTTTCCAAGGTTGTGCTTCATCGAGGGGAGATGAAGCGCAACCCAGCGTTTGGGGGCGCAACCAAGCTCATTTTTGTGCGATAAATGACTTTGGTTGTGCTCCCAAGCACTTGGTTGTGCTTCATCGAGGCGAGATGAAGCGCAACCCCGAAAAAATGATGTTTTATGTTCTTTGGTAAATTCTAGTGAGATAGGTGCCATGCGAATGATATGAATAGGGGTCAGCATGATGTTAACGTTTATGTTCATCGTGGCACACCCAGTGGCGAAATGCTTTGATCCAAACATATCCGACGGCGACATGATGACATGATACACTCCACTACACCACCACACTACATTTCACTACTCTACATTGCACTGAATGACACTGCACCACAAATAGACAGGTAGACAGGTAGACAGGTAGACAGATAGACAGATAGACAGATAGACAGATAGACAGATAGACAGATAGACAGATAGACAGATAGACAGACAGACAGACAGATAGATAGATAGATAGACAGACAGATAGCCAGGTAGACAGATAGATAGATGAAAGAGAGAGAGAGAGAGATAGATAGATAGATAGACAGACAGATAGATAAATAGATAGATGAATAGATAGATAGAGAGAGTTTTGAGCGATAGATGGGTGGAGAGATAGAGAGATAGATAGATAAAAAGATAGACAGATAGATAGATAGGTAGATAGATAGACAGACAGATAGATAGATAGATAGATGGCTAGATAGATTGATAGATAGATAGATAGGTAGATAGATAGGTAGATAGAAAGACAGATAGACAGATAGACAGGTAGACAGATAGACAGATGAAAGAGAGAGAGAGAGAGATAGATAGATAGATAGATCGATCGATCGATAGATAGATAGATAAATAGATAGATAGATAGATAGATAGAGAGAGATAGAGAGATAGATAGATAGATAGATAGATATATAGATATAATGATAGATAGATAAGGTAGAAAATAGATATATATGTATAGAAAGACATGATCGATAGATCAAAGAATCGTAGATCTAGATAGATGATAGATAGATGAGAAGGATGATAGGTAGGTAATATATAGATAGATAGATCAATATATAGAATAGAGAGAATAGATAGATTGATAAATAGATATATATAATATATATGATAGATCGATAGATCGATATATCGATATATCTGTAGAAGGATGAATAGAATAGATAGTATCATATATCTTCTCCTCTCTAGAATCGATAGATAGATAGATAAATAGATAGATAGATAGATAGATAGAGAGAGATAGAGAGATAGATAGATAGATAGATAGATAGTTCGGGGAACAATATAACACTATTGGCCTTCTGCTTTTTTATTCGCGGGTGCTGTAAGACCAGGGGTTCAACATTGAATTTAAAAAACTCAATGGGCGCAATTGAAAATGAATGAAAAAAAAGGATCTCACAAGCTCAGTTCGGTAAAAAATCTTGTCTTGGGAGGGGCTTTATTATTAACCTCCCAACATTACTCCGTGTGTGTGTGTGTGCTTGTGATTGTTCCACTTTTCTTTTTTAGGTGGTGTACTTACTGGTGTGGCTGATTGAACAGAGTAATTACTGGATTCATTGTCACACAACGAGGAAAATCAAGCCTTAAAAGCGTCCATCTTGCCTTTGTTGTTTTTTTTAGGTGCTTGTTGAACCCTTATTGACCCTGTGCCATTCCATCTTGCGGCCATGTTGGGCCTATGCCAGGCTTATGCTGACGCTTTGTGGCATTTGTTGAAAGCTAATTGATCCCATGTCAGGCCATCTTCCCTCTATGTTGGCTCTATGCTGCGTTTATTTCATCTTCTAGGAAACAGATTCGGAAAAAATTGCCTATTCCAAGAACACAGAAAGTACACATTTCTGGACCAAACATGAGCTCAATTTCGTCCATGTCGTCCACTTTTCAGACGCTTGTTGAGCCCCATGTCAGGTCATCTTGCAGGTTTGTTGTGCCATTGTTGCGCGTATGTTGCTTTTTGTTGGCTTTTGACTTGCTGGCCCCAAGTACGTCCATGTCAGCTATGTTGGGCCTACATATCTTGGAATCATCTTGCCAGGGCCTGGTCCAGGCCTGGGTGCCTGCCTGTTCTTATGCCCGCCGGGCGTAAGCGCAGGCGGGGCTTTGGCAGCGCAGGTTTGGCAGGGTAAAGGCTGTTTTTTCACCATTTTAGGCCCAAAACCTGTTCGATGAAGGGCCTGCCTGTTCTGATGCCCGGCGGGCATAAGCGCAGGCGGGTGAAAAGGAGACATTTCATCCACAGGATTGTTTTGCCGTGGATTCCCATGAGAAAGGGAAATTTCATCCATGGAATGGAGCCAGTTTGCAATGAAATGGCCAATTTGAAATGAAATGGAGCCAGTCTGGGGTAACTGGGGGTGTAAGCCAAGTACATAGACGACAGTCCATTTGGATGACTTAGTAAACCAGAGCTATGAAACAGTATAAGTGGTATGACGTGTCCAGTGTTGCTTTCTTGCTTGGCTGTGACGAATTCAGAGCCAACAAATGCCCCACAGAATTACGACCGAGTTTGTGAGCGGAGTAGAAAAACTCGGTCGTATTTTTTTTTTTCCTTCTACAATGCCCGAGAAAGGATTCTAGGTGTATGTTGCAGACCATGGGGCCAGTTGACTATGGCCACTAACCAGATAACTCCTTTGTATCCATGTATGTTTGTAAATATGTCTGTCTGTCTGTCTGTCTGTCTGTCTGTCTGTATGTATGTATGTATGTGATGTAATGTTTTTTCACACTAAGTCATATAATGTTATGTTATGTTACATCATGTATGTCTGTATGTATGTATGTATGTATGTGCGTATCTGCGTATGTGTGTATGTGTGTATGTCTGTATGTCTGTATGTCTGTATGTCTGTATGTCTGTATGTCTGTATGTATGTATGTATGTATGTGCGTATGTCTGTGTGTATGTATGTGCGTATGTCTGTGTGTATGTATGTATGTATGTATGTATGTATGTATGTATGTATGTATGTATGTATGTATGATAGATATATAGATAGAGAGATAGATAGATAGATAAATAGATATATAGATATATAGATATATATATATATAGATAGATGGATAGATAGATAGATAGAGAGATAGAAGGATATAGATAGATAGATAGATAGATAAATAAACAAATAGATGGATAGATAGATAGACAGATAGAAGCATCGATCGATAAATAGATAGATCGATAGCTAAATAGATCGATAAAAAGATAGATAGATAGATAGATAGATAGATAGATAGATAGATAGATAGATAGATAGATAGATAGATAGATAGATAGATAGATAGATAGATAGATACATAGAAGGATAGATTGATAAATAGATACATAGATAGACAACTAAATAGATAGATACATGGATAGATAGATGGATAAGGAGGTAAGTACATAGTCAGAGAAAAAGAAAGAAAGAGATGCGGACCAGGGGGGAATCGAATGGGGGGGGGGGCCCCCCCCCCCTACGTCTCCGTTCGTGACTCTCGGCTCTCAATTTCCGGGAAAGGACCACCCACCTCCCCCAGTACTAAACTAGTACTAAAGTACATAGAACTCAGGTAGCCTAGGCTACCTTTCGTGATCTGTGTTCAACTAAATCAGTTCGCAAAAAGGTGAAGCCAAAATCTTTCTCCAATGACTTGCCAGAAATCACCAGGGCACCAAGGGCTAGCGATGCCAAAGGCTGGCGCTGCTGTGACTGTTGGAAACGCTCAAAGGCTAAAAGCAACAAGGACTCCTGGAAGGTGTTCGATCTCTGGGGTAGGGGCAGTGATAAGGGCTAAGGACCTGTCATGTCACGGAATGGCATGGATAAGAATTTGCAAGTCACGGATCGGTACAGTGCCCCACGATAAAAATGGCAGAGAAGCCAGAGTTAGACAAAGGGGGGGAATCAACACAGGGACAATGGTTGCTCAAGAATGTGCACCAAACTTGATCAAGAGAGGTCTGGGATGATGTTTCCGCCTGGATTGACCATCGTCGTAGGAATCCTGGTCTGGCACTACTAGCTTGAATCTACAGCACCTTGCAACTGTGCAGGTCTGAAATGGACACCACAGCAAATGAGGCTTCGTTGCCTCCCCTTTCATCATCTTCGATCGAGTGTTTTGAAGCTGACAATGGCTCAAAACACACATTCATCTTTCTTCCTGTCAACCAAGGGAATAAGCAGCAAAAATTCAAACAAATGTCAAGGAAAAAAGCGCCATGAAACATCGAAGGCCCAATCTACTTTCCTGTGTAACCATTTTTCTCTTTCTCTACGTAGGCATATCTTTCACCCCATCTTCCCTGAGCCTCCCTTGCCACTCGATACTTTCACCACCACACCCATGCGGGTCCCAACCTTCACGCGGCGGAATTTCATTCGCTCAAGGACCTCTTGTCCTTAGCCCAGCGGGCTAACCCCCCAGCCGCCTCAAGCCACCAATGGATTGATTCTCCAAGCATTTTTTTCTACCACAGAACTGCTGCAAACAGTTGTGCCAAAAAGTCTCTGGACATACCTAGCTGCTACCCTGCCTGTCTCCGTCAATGTCCTACTCTTTATTGAAACAACCATGCAGGAACTTCATTTTCAGATGGGTTGCTCTTTCTTCTCCAAGAGATCTATGTTGACTTAAACTTAGGGCCTCAAAGCTTAATTTGCTGAACCAAGGCTCGAATCTCTACCACAGCACAGTCCTTCAGCCGGGCTGGATGCATGTAGGTTGGGCAACGCACAGTCAAATTCAATATGATTTGAAACACTCTACACTGTAATGGCTTGAATAGACATCAATCGTCTTTAGCTATACTACAAAACATTTTCCGTGTCTTTTTATGTGTCGAATGCCTTGAAGCGAGGCGCGATAGCTGTCACTCACCAGTCTGCTGCACGCAGCTTTGCACTCATCTCTCTTCACAGCCATAAAGAAGAAGGATCAAAGTGGGTCGGGATCAAGGACTGTAGGTTTTGTCACTTGAACCACTAGTTCATCCTACAGGCCATGAAGCTGCCCAATTCTACAGATGAGCCGCCCCAATCCTCGGGTTGCCGTTACCTTTGTTTTGCTGCACTCGATGCCTGGACCCTTTGGCTGGTACGTAAAGAGTATCGGTTTGCAGGAATGGAAAAATCAGTAAAATTCACCTCAAATTAACTCAATACCCCACACTACACCCAAAATCATTGGGGCATATATACCGCTAATATACATACACGTGCATGGACGTATGATGATGCATGTAGAGATATGAGTCATCCACCTGGGGCCTGGGGCATTTGTATATCTAATTGTTGTGCAAGTGCTTTCCAATTTCTTTCCTTGTGTAGATATGTAATTCTATGTCTATCTATCATCAGTTCACAGGTGGGTTTCATAAAACGATGGATCCCATTTTAAATCATTTTAATTTTAACCATGGGTTTCAATGAAAAAATGGTCTAATTGATTCAAATTGTGGATGATTTGGGGTATCCCGGTGACCCTGGAACCTCCAAAGTAACTCAGTAGACCACATTTTAATAACCCTATGCCGCCCATGGTTAAAATGGGATCCCCCATGACTTAAGAAACCCCCGTATCAGTTCAACTCCAGCTGCCTCAGCCCAGAGTCCTGCAGCGCTTGCACGCTGGCCGTCCTCACATGCAGCAGCCCCAGCAGAGCCGCCTCTCCCAATGAGGCGCCAGGGCCCAACACACCGATGGGGCCGATCTCCTGTGAAACGCTGGGGAATGGAGGGAAAACTCACCTGGAAAATCCTGGAAACCAGGGAAGTTTCATTGATCTTTTCGCCCAAATTCTACAGGAAACTCACATGGTTATGCTGGAAATTGCCATCATTTGCCATCACTTAACCATTTTTGGGCGATTATAAGATCAATATAGATTAATTATCCCAAATCTTCCCTCTGAGATGTTCCATTGCCATGTTAGATTCAGGGTAAACAGACCTGAACACTGACCTGAAACCATGGCTCAGCGGAAAACTGCCATTCAAAGTGTTTCCTGCAGACTTTCTCTCCATCCAAGAAATATCCGAAGGATGTTTAAAAGTTTAGAAGTCAAACTTTCGACAATATGTACAGATGGAAAAGCAGAGGTGGGAAGAGTCAGAGAAGAGAAGAGAAGAGAAGCAGAAGAGGAAGAGGAAGAGGAAATAAGAGGAAGAGGAAGAGGAAGAGGAAGAGGAGGAGGAGGAAGAGGAAGAGGAAGAGGAAGAGGAAGAAGAAGAGGAAGAGAAGAGAAGAAAGGAGAAGAGAAGAAGAGAGAAGATCAGTGAAGAGAAAGAGTCAGAAGAAAGAAGATGCAGGTGCGCAAAAAGGTAGGAAAGTCGCGAAACACTGTGTTTTTTCCAATGATTTGTGGCTCCGGAGGGTCGAAAAGTAGGTACGCCAATGTGGCGCGAAGCAACTTTGGAAGCCAAAATGTACACAACACACCATTCTCGGACGACTTGTGGAAGTTGAGATGTCGAAAAAGTGCACGCCGTTGTGGCGCGAAGCACGTTTGGAAGTCAAAATGCGCAAAACACATCAGTGTCGCAGCACTTTTGGAAGTTGCGCCGTCGAAAAAGTGCACGCCGTTGTGGCGCGAAGCACATTCCGAAGCCAAAATGTACAAAACACACAAGGGTCGGAAACACTTTTGGAAGTTGACATGTCGAAAAAGTGCACGCCGTTGTGGCGCGAAGCAAATTTCCAAGTCAAAAGTGCAAAATGAGGGGTACGGGCGTTCAGGTGTCGTTTTGCGTGGCAGGCGCAAGGGATTGTGCACCTTGTCAAAAGTGAGCAAGATGGCATGCGTGGGACATTTAAAGAGGATCTGGAAACACAAGTGAGAAAATTTTGGAGGCGCAAGTGAGTAGTTTACCCTCCTGCAAGACTTGGGAGAGAGTTCTGCCATGTGGCTCAATCTGCGAAACCATCTCACCGTTGCTGATGTCGTTGTCATCTTGAAGCTCTTGCGCGACCACAGTGAGTGGCCCCAGGTCAAGCGCACGGAGGATGAATTGCTGCGCCGTGAATATCTGAAGCTTTTTGATGAATGTTGTCATTTTCAGCCCGATTGGATTCACACTGACATGACAGCGGCAGCCCGGGCTGATGCTGCACCTCACAGGGGCCGCATGTGCCAGCGTGGCAAAGATGGCAGTGATGCGCACCGCCACAGTGGCAGAGCAAGCAGTGACTGCGTGTGTCTTTTCTGACCGCGTCGGCTGGCAGCCGCACCGAAGATGGGACGACACGGCAGACATTCTTCCAACTGTGCTGTCGTGTTTGTGCCGTGCCGTGTCTGTCTTTTCTGAAAATTTTTCGGTGGTCACGGCACCCTTTTCAGAGACGGCAACGTGCGCCTCTCGCCAGGTGCGCTTCCAAGCGTTCGTCGAGGAACTTCCTGCCATGGTATATACGGCTGGCTGGCTTCTCCGCTTATGGATATAAATGCGGAGATGTGCTTGAAACTTGATTGCCGTGCTGAACATGTCGGAGGACCATGGAGGACCCAACTTCTTGATGCTCAAGCCCGAGACGAACTTCAGTTTGCTCTCTACATCCGTCATGCCTTTCCTGGGCTTCAGACGAAAAGTCGTCACCGAACGGGCTACTTGAAGATGTCGGTTCCGGATGTTTGCTTGCAATTTTCGTACTTGTCTTTTCTGACAGTATGAAGTCACGGACGGTGTTCGTTTCCTCCGCAAGGTCGAGTTGTGTGCACCCAAGGGATCGTGCTAGACCGTCTCACACCTTTTAACTTTGTAAGTCACACCACAACTGAAACCAAGGGTCTGTTCGCTCTGTGTCTTGTCTGTGCAAATGTTACCTGCTTGCTGTCGAACTGTCTAGATGGAAAGATGAAGAACTAGATAGGTGGATGGGCGAAATGCTTCGGCACTTAAATGGATAGAATGGATAGCTGGATGAGCAGATAGACAGCTAGATAGATGGATAGATCGCAAGACGACAGGCAGACAGACAGAGAGACAAGGAAATGGACAGATCTCGAAAGAGAGAAATAGAAAGAAAGATAGACAGATGGAGACAAAATAAGATGATGGATGGGAGATGGATGGAAAGACAGAGAGATGGATAGGTTGACAGACAGATAGATCAGTAGACAGAAACGAAGGAAGGAAGGAAGGAAGGAAGGATGGATGGATAGATAGATCGATAGATCGATAGATAGACAGATAGACAGACAGACAGACAGATAGATAGATAGATAGGTAGATAGATAGATAGATAGATGGATTGATGGATGGATAGATAGATAGGTAGATAGATAGATAGGTGGATTGATGGATGGGTAGATAGACAGACGGATAATTCATTCCAACCATCTTTCGGTCCATCGGTGGGTTCTCTCTGCCACCCATGATTCACAACAACCAACCTCTCCTATAGGTTTCCTATTTTTGAAACTTCCGCCACCGCCTTGTGCGGTACTACTGGTACCATATATTAGGTGCATTACTCCTTCCAGATGAAGAAATACACATGATAATTATGTGGATCCATACGATGGGCGGTGCTAATCCCATAAAACAGTGCAGGCCAATTTTTTTGCAATCAAACGTAAGCCTTGCAGGCACATCACAACATGCACGCCTCGCTCCTCCAGGAATTCAAGTCAAAATCCGATTCTAATCAGGTTTCCAAGCCCTAGTGGACATGCGGTCGCACAAACTAGCTTGGATCAATAGAGTCCACGACGCTGTCTTGCAGCCAGAAAGAAGGAGCAAAGCCGAACTGGCTACCAATTTTGGAAGAAGAGATTTCAGGGCATAAATCCGAAAAGGCTTCTTTGACAAAATTGTTTCCAATGACAACGGAAGCGCTGCACAAGAGTTGCAAATCCCAGCTCTGGACATAGGAAGCCACGGACCCAGCCATATTTCGCAACAAATTCAACCAAAAAAAAAAAACAAAGGGTATATCGCATCAAAGGGTTGGGTTTTATGTTGGCCTACTAAACCGTCAGCCCCTGACAAGTACCTGGTGGACTTTCATTTGGTTTCTGTTGGTTAAGTCCCGCTTCTTGGTTGCTTAAATCGCCGTTTTGGGTTGATTCAATTGATTCGACCTGCGCTGTCATTCCTTCTCGCCAAAGAAAACTTCCTCTTCAAGTACGTGAGTTGATCTCTCAAAAGATCACAGAAACAGTTGAGGTGCAAAATGGTCTTAAAAGATGCAATTGCCAGAAACTAATGTATAAATAAATATATATATATATAATCCCATCCCCGTAATCCTAACAATCCGGGTTCTGGGAGCACCCAACTTGAACCGACACTGAGACGCACCAGGGATAGTTCGTCAAGGGGGGGAAAACCACTTCAGCGGAAATCAAAGATTGATCACAACAAAGCCTGCTGCCTTTCCTCAAAGTCATATAGGTGTCAGATCATCTTCCCACTATTTTTTGAAGAAATACTTCGGACCACCAACAACAAAATTCACAAAGCACAAAAGCCAAACAGCTCCTAGCTCCAAAGCTCAGGCCCTTGTTCCAATCACCCAGTCCTTGCCATAGATCTGCGCGTAGCCATCCACGAGGACCATCCTCAGCCGATGTCTGCAGGGCCGTTCATGTCCTCATCAGTTCTCGCCATCCAAAAGAAGCTGAACCAGCCTAATTTCCTAGATAATAACTTTTCCCCAACAGTGTAAGCTAATGAGGTCTTCAGCCCAAAATAGTTCCGGTGTGCACTGGTGCAGGCGCCGGGTCAGGTTCAACGAGGTTCCGGAGGAGGTTCTGAAGGTTCCGGAGATGAATTGGGAGGCTTTGCTACAGAGCCAGGTCACGTTCAACGGAGTTCGGGAAAAGGTTCTGGAGAAGGTCTGGGTCAGGTTACAGAGGGTTCCGGAGAAGGTTCCGTTGAAGGTTCCGGTAAGCCTTAGTGCAAAGCCAAGTCAGGTTCAACAAGATTCCGGAAAAGGCTCCAGAGAAGGTTCCGGAGAAAGTTCCGGAAAAGGTTCAGGGAGGCTTTGGTGCAGAGCCAAGTTCAACAGGGTTCCTTCCGGAGAAGGTTCCGGGAGGCTTTGGTGCAGAGCCATGTCAGGTTCAACAAGGTTCCGGAGAAGGTTGCGGAGAAGGTCTGGGAGGCTTTGGTGCAGAGCCAGGTTAGGTTCAACAGGGTTCCGGAGAAGGTTCCGGAGAAGGTTCCGGGAGGCTTTGGTGCAGCGCCAGGTCAGGTTCAACAAGGTTCCGGAGAAGGTTCCGGAGAAGGTCTGGGAGGCTTTGGTGCAGAGCCAGGTCAGGTTCAACAGGATTTGCGGCCATTTATCTCACGGGAACCCAGCTGAGGTGTTTCCAGCGCTTGGCTTCGCAGCACGCTTCAGAAAGATTTGTAGAAATATATCGTTGCGGCTGTTGTTGGGGATACCACCGAAGCTTATTTCATTTTTTCCTTAAATGTCCGTGTCTTTCCCTTTCAATGATTTGCTCCCCCTGTTTCCTCATGCTTTTCCAACTTAGTCATCCTCCCCTGATCAAATTTCAATTTAAATTTGAATGTCTGGAGGATAATATGAAAAACAAAACTCTTCCCAGCCCAGGTCCCCAACTCTCCAGGGCCAGTCCCAACAAGAAATCCTTGCCGCGGAGCATGGAGTCTGCAGCTTCGCCCACCACACAGAGAGCCTCCCCAGCCTTCAACTTGGTGATGTGGAGCTCGGTGGCCAGCAGGGTGGCCAGCTCACCTGCCATCAGTGAGATTTTTGGGTGAGGGCGCGGTTGTATTCGGAAACTGGATAGTTTGTAATTATTGAATACAGTATCATTTGAAAGCTTCGGAAACTGGGAGTTGCGTTTGGAAACTGGGACTAGGATTTGTATTTGGAAACTGGAAAGTTGTAGCCGGAAAGTGGAGGGTCGTATTGGGAAACTGGAATTCCGAAACTACAAACAGCGTATTCGGAAACTGGCTGGAAACTACAGAGATAAACCCTAAACAAACCTTCGGTAAACCCGAAATCAGCCCATATCAACCTTAAACCAACCCTGAACCGTAGTTGAACCGAACTTGCTGAACTGTGGAACCGGCTGGATTAGCTCCTGAATACGACACTGCAGTTGGTGAATACAACACAGTAGCTTCTGAGTACGACACTCTACGAGTAGTTTCTGAATACGACGTTGAGTTTCTGAAGCGTACTGTCTGAATACGATGGAGATTCTGGATCCAACTTTCATCCGATTTTTGGGAAGGAAGTGGGGAGCCAAAGAATTGGGGCACATCCCCCGAGGACTGGAAGTGGAGTCCCCATCTCCCCATGGCACTACCGTGCCATACCGTGCCCCCTTCACCTGGAGATCTGGCGAAGGCCAACAGCCGTTTCAGGGCGCGTTCAACCTTCGCCTGGGCATCTGCTTGCTCCGCAGTGGTGGGAGGTGTTTCTGACATACCTGGGCAGGTTGGCAGGCAAGGGCGGCGGCGAACCGGCGAACTGCACGGCTCAGTGGAGCATATGGCCGTTAATGGAGATATATCATATCATATAGCCGATAACTATCAGAAACTATAACTCTAGTATACATATATCCACACTGTTAAGACATGTTAAGACATTTAATATCATTTAACGATCATGATATGATAGTCGACATAGATCGACATAGTAAGCAAACGTAACCAAGAACTGTGGAGCATCATGGGCTTGGCAATAGGGATGTTGATCCTGAGGTCATTGCAGGCCAAGTTGCTAATGCCGCGAAAGCTGTCCACCTGCCCAAGCTGCTCCACCTTTAATCGCACCTGAGTTTCGCAGATCTGGCCGAAGCAGGGTCCTAAATGGCCAAAATGCCCCCAAACAATGTCAATCTCCATGTCATATGCCTGAGAAACAAACATCAAAGCTACTCCTATGCCTTTTGCTTGTTGTTCTCTGCAAAACCATCCCAAATCTGCAAACTCCAAGGTGCATAGTGCGCGGAGGGGCTCATCATGTGCACCTCCCCTGCTTCAGCTTCCTCCTCTTCCAACTCATCAAACCTTGGCGCTGCCGTTCGTTCCCAAGCATTCAACCAAAATTGCTCAACTTTTATCTATTTTAGATGCTTGATCTATTCTAGCTGCATTTAGGAGCACCATGTAGCAAATCTTGCAAAACAGGTGGTCCCTGCTTTTGACCCATCCCATCTATAGCTGAACCCTCTGAGTTCTTCCATCAAGAATCTCCAAACCATCTTCGGCTGGTGGAGCAAGCGCTTCCGCCGGTCTTTGTTCCTCATCAGGCGCCTGAAGGTTGCTGAAGGACTGCTGTTCCAGACTTGGATGAAGGAAAACCTGCAGGAACCCCCGTGGATCTAAATGGATTTGAAGGAGTTTGATGTGTTGTCGTGGTTGAATCATGTTGAACCCTGGTTTTTGCCTGCAACTTTCCAGAGGTAAAAGCCCATGGACGGGCTAACAACTGGACTCTGGAACGCTCTGATGCAAGGGGAAGCGGGGATGGCAAGCGAGAATCTCTTGAAAACGTTCCATCATCTCATCACCTACCTGGTAGTGTTCATATGTGTTTATTTTTTTGAAAATAGTTGTCATCTCCCCAGGTGAGGCTTTTTGTTGCCATCCCACTTTTTCCTCAATTCCAGAGGAGAGTCCCAGTCACCTGCAGCGTGCCGGAACCCGAGCTGAGGCTGTCGTCATCCAAGTGTGACATGGCATCAGCTGCTGATTGGGCTGCGAAGGCAACCTTTCTTCGGGAGCTATGCGGCTATGCATGGCTTGGGTATCTGGCTGTGGCTGGAATTTTGGAGTTTGTTCCCTTGGGATCTGCCATGATCCACCTGGCTTTCTTTGGACTGGGGCCAGCTTCACCTGATGTGATAGTTCAACTCAAGGCCCCCCGAGGAATCTATGTCAAGTCCTACGCCTGAAGTGAAACGGCTGCGGCACAACGAAACTGCAGAACGGTGATGATTTCAGGCATCGGTTTGAAGCCACGCTGTGGGACTTCATCCCCTTGGCAGGTCGGGACTGTATCTGCTTGTGGTGCCTATCTGGCAACGTACCATCTGTATATCATAGACACTCTTCAAGAGAAGACGACATCACGGGCCAATAAAAGATCCCTTTAACAACCATGAAAATTATCAAAAGGAAAACCTCCACCCCTCGGCTCCTCCACCCTTGCCCGGGTGGCCGGACGGCGATCTCGTGCACCGTCGGAAAGACCTACGACCCATGGTGCTGGTATGTATTGTTACCATGTGTTTATCACAACCTTCCCAGTTGAAAGGGAGATTTGGGGTCCCCACCATGTTTCAACCTTTTGAGACAAAGCCAAATGGATTGTGGTATAAGTTTGAGACCCGCAGTAGAAACAATAGGCATATTAGTACGAAACCACCTGCCTAGATATCTTCAATAGTTTTGGTGATGCAGCACTAGGCCCGCTACATACTCAACATGTGCATGAATGTTTCTGTGTTCAATGGATGATGACTCATTCTTCTTCAGTAGTTCCAATTGCTGATTGGTCACATGTTGGTCAAGTCAAAAATGAAGCGCCTTGGACCGCCTAGCTCTTGGTCATGCTTCGTTTTTGTAGTGGTATGTTTAAACTTTAAGCTATTCAAATGTTTGGGCACACACCACCTTTTCTGTGGTTTTCAGTGATGTTTCGAGCCACATAAAAGGCAACCAAGGAAAATGTGGGGACCCTTGGGCAAGGATGCCAAATGCCAAGAACCACTCCGGCCCCGTACCAAAGTCATGCCGAAGGGACTAGGTTGGTGGCAGCAACTCCATCTGGCATCGGATGGCAACTTCACAGCGCCAAGATTTCAAGGCCATGTTTGTTCAGTCTGACGGCGACTTTCGAGCAAATCTAAACCTCATAGAAATGCAGCAAGGTCTCCCACACCCTGCACCCTGCTCAAATGCGCCAGCCGCACGCACTGCTAAACGAGGGAAGTGGGTGGTGCTCAGGCTTTCCGCATAACTGGGCCGGAATGCAGTGTTGCAGGAGATGTGGGTCATGCAGTGTTGCTTCCCTGAAACAGGATGGTTTCAGCCAGTTTTTGTTTAGACTTCTCACCCTTCACATAGAGCCGGGCAACGTCCCCTCGGCCCTTCCGGACACCTGTGGAACGAGTCCTTGATTTTCGTGTGTGAAACAGCACTTGGCACCCATACTCTGAATCCGCAGCAGCGTTGCTCAACCTCAAAACCAAGCAACAGGGGACCCACATTCTCTCTTGAAGTTCGTGAACTCCTACATGTTCCCATTTCAATATCTATCTCTATGCCCCTGTCTTTACATACATGTACAGTAGTATACATCTAGAATAGAGAGTCCGTATATCTATATCTATGGGCTTTTTCGACATTTCGCCAAGGCCGGCACATAATGTCCACCTTCTTCCTAACGAGCTCGTGCAACTTGTGTGAATTCTCCTGAGCAGCTGTGGCATGCTGTGGCCTGTTGAACAAATGGCGGAGGGATACCCATAAGAAGCTACACACACTGGCAGGAAGGATCAATTGGGATGCTTAGCTAGGGTTTGTATGCCAGTGGTGATTCACCTCTAGACCAGGTGATTACCTGATGGGCCAGAATCACCACCAGCAGGTTGTCCTCGATTTGGGGCTGTGTAAATGATTCAACCAGCAGGCCGTCAGAGTCGAGGTCAACCAGGGGCCCCAGCAATAAAAATCAAATGCATCGCAAGGATGACGATAAACAACCTGGCAGCTGTTGCCGGCCATCGAAAAAATTGCACACATCTGCCATGGATCCCTCGTATAAGGGATGACCATCCTTTCCATTCTTCCATCAACAGCTTGTGAGAGGCATGTTGTACATTGTTGTGCCCTCTTGATGGAACTTCACTACCCTGGAAAATAACCAGTTGGACCATTTCGCACAACACATCGACATCAACGTTCCACCCTCACGCGCATCTGCCCACAAGTTCGCAAAGAAATCATGCCGGCAGCGCTCATCCTCGGTCAACCTGCGTCCATTGGGGACCTTCTTCTTTTTGCCCTTTCCCTGTGCCTCCAGCGCCGCAGGCATCGCAAGGCAGCTGAGACCCCGACCTTCGGTATCCTTTGCCCAGAGACCCCCAGCCTCATCCTTTCCATCATTCGGACAAAGGACCCTGATGGCCATGGTCAATCGCCTGCGAGCCTGGCTGGGCTTCGGTGAAATGTCCAAATGCCCAGCATGTCCACAACCATTGCACCCCACCGTACACCTTCCACATAGATTGGGGCTGGGGGGATCAAGTTACTGCTTGACATGTTCAACCCCTTTTGCACAATGGGAACTTCATTCAATACCTTTATCTCATCTTGAGGGGGAAAATGAAACATATGATACAATTGAAACCTCCAGTCAGTTCATTGGTTTCCATATAATCAATATGAGTATGAGATACTCATGATGCATCATGAAAACCCATGTCTGTTGCTTAAACCCACCGTTTGGTTGCTTGAATCACAATTTTCACTTGGTAACATAACATAGGGTCACAATCACCTTTTGTGTTGGTTAAATCATATTACATCATGTTACTTCTTCTGAAGGGGAAAAATCCATCACTACTGAATCATTCTTGATCCAATGCGTTTTGTCCCAGCAAATCCCCAAACAAAACACGACAACTTTGGCACCTGCTCCTGTTCGGGCTTCTCACCCACCATGGTTGTCAACTGCCAGCGAGAAGCGTCAACGGCTCAAGAAACTTGCCATTCATGCCATGATGGATGTTTATCCATGATGAGTCTTGTTTTACATAACTTGTATCCTGTTGGCCCCATCCCTATTTTCCATGATTTTCCATTGTGGTCACTGGCTCTCAATTTGTCTACTCTAAATCCACCCATGGCGCCTTCGGCTTGTCTTGAAACTTGGCTAAGCCGATGAGAACCACCACGAAGAGTCGGAAGTCCACACCTCGGCGTTTCCACAGCCGCGGATTTCGGATTTAAAAAAAGCGGAGTTCGTCACTACCAGTGGGGCCTTTACTACGTGATATTGTAAGTGATATCGGCGTATAATAGCAACAACCAAAAGCTGTGTTTTGTACATTTTTGTACCACGAGAAAGTGATTCAATCGACAACAATCATGGGAGGAATGGCGGCTATGAACTGTCAGACTTTTGTTACCATCAATCCCAAAAGTTGATACTAGGGCCGCAGACATGCAGCCTCAGGGTGCTCAATGTCACCTGCAGCACTTCATCCAACTCCAATGAAATTGATATGTGTTTTGAATATATAGTAAAGTAACCCAAAAGCTCATGAGTTGATCATGATTTTTCTGCCAATGTGTATGCACATAATTATGCATGTATATATATATATACATATATATATATATCTCGCTCTCTCTCTCTCTCTCTCCATCGCCTTCTCGAACTGTATAAATATATATATATACATATATATATGCATTTATATTTATATTTACAGTTACATTATATTTCTATTTACATTCAAATTCATGTTTATAATTCTAATTATAGTTAAGTTATATCTATATTCATATTTAGCTATTTATTCATGTGTTTATTTATCTATCTATTTATCTATTTGTTTATGTTATTCCTTTATTTATTTATCTGTTTATTCATGTTATTTATTTGTTTAATTGTTCATTTATTTATTTTATAGCACATGAAACGCCATGAAATATGGACTCTTACCTCCCAGTAAATGTGCATTGGCTAGGGGCCTCCGAGCTGCTCGTAGACAGGCTTCAGGCGCTCCACATCTCGGTACAGCCGAATTGCCGAACCGAAATCAAAAACCCAAAGAAACCAAAAAATGATTTCCAGACTAGTCTGAACATGCCTAGATCCAAGTAGTCCCAAAAAAATGTTTTATTTTTATTTTTTGTTTGTTTTTGTTTTTTTTGGGGGGGGGTGATTAACCAACCACTCTAAGCTCTTTCCACTAGAAAAGGCTTGTGTACGGACAGCAAAAGGCCAATATGCTTTTAGATCTATTTGGGGAAACAAATTGCATTTTGCGCGCCTACAACGAGCCTGTCTGCATTTCTAATCATAGAAAAAAAGGCTTGCGCATGGACAACAAAAAACATAAGATCATGTAATATATCGACAAGAAACAATGAATATATACACACAATTGGTGATTTCAGCGTTGGCAACAAGCCTTTCTGTTTTTTTTCGGTTTCTGATGCCTTCCGACAAAGAAAGGGTGAGACAACTCCTGGGAGCACCCCACAAGCGGCTTCAAGCTGCTGACGCTCGCCTGCCAAGCGCTCGGCGGAGGGCTCTGTTTGGATCCACCAATGGTGTATCTGATAACTGATATGATAGATATGATTAACATTCATAATATATAATATAATCATAGATTTGTATAAATATACCAATTATAACCTATTCATGATCCACCAACATGATCCAAGTATGGATTTCAAATGATCCGACATGTTCAATAGTGATTAATATTCAATAATCTAAAATAATGTGTAAAATGTATAGTAAGACAATTGACAGGGTGGTTTGCCTTGCTGTCTTGTTCAATACACTCATGGTGCCCAAGTGGGTCTCATCATGTCTCATCTCTACTTGGAGATGAAGCACTGCCGGCCTGCATTGAGCTGCTTGCAAGCCAGCTCCCAGTGACTGGAGCCTTGGGGGAAGGGGTCACTGCAAGCATCCAACCAGGGGGCTCTAATCCCCCAACCATTGGGTTGGCTCCCGTAGGTTGGTCATATGACCTCGCAACAAGGGCAGTCATGGCTGCTGGATGCCTATGGTTCATGCAGTCTATAAGGCAGTGATCAACTAGTGGCTGGGGAATCCGCAGCAACTCTCTATGAACAAATCATAACTTTATGGCACCCGAACCACCAACCGAGACCAGCTGGTTGAATTTACAATGAAAATGCATTTACCAGGTTAAGGATGGTTTTTTTAGGGGAAAAAACCTTATATTTTTTTCACTTCACCTGCAGTGCACTGCCACCTGCCTTGGTGGGGCACCGGGGCACCCAAGGAACCCCCGAGCTTTCCGGCGTGGACCATTCGGAGCGATCAACGACATCTCTGTGAGATTGATCTTCATGTCCTGAAAAGCCGTCCAGGCCACGACAGGCTCGCGGCAAATCCAAAAAATGAACAACTGCATCCTAGGAACGAATCACCACATTTCGCATAATTGGGAGGGTACCATTTAAGTATCATATTATGACTATTGGAGGAGTACCCCCCTAATTAATAAACCATGGTTTATTAATCCGGGGTTGACATTATACACATTGAGTATCTCAAAAAATATGCTAAGCCACAATCGTTGCTAGCCATCTCTGTCAATCCGCTCCTCCGTGAAGTCATCCGAGCGTTGCTTGGCTGTTCGCAACCTGGGATTTCCGCTTAGAATGTCTGGCCATGTGCCATGTGGCAAAGCCAAAAAAAAATATAAATCTCCAAGTGGGAACGTCTATGCCATCTATGCCACCCGTTTCTGGTGGGATGCTTTGTGGCGGCCTTAGTGTGCACCACCTGGGCCGCCCTATGGCAGATAGGTGAAATCCCTGGTGCTTGGCTGAAAGTACAGTATGGTAATGTATGGTACCCCCAAATCCGCTGGTTAAATATCATCTTCCCACTACAATTACCATTTGGGCGAACCCAAATAGCTGGCACATGTTTTTTTGGTAATCCCACCCAAAAATGGTTGCGCATGACCTATCACCAAACACTGCTCAAAACCATGTCCCTTTGAGTGTCAGACACT